TGTACTGCATATTACCAGTTTTCTTGTACTTCTCGCGCAGTTTAGCTTTCTTTTTGATATTGCAAATAATCTCGGGTGTATACCATTTGGGATAATTATGTTTGAACACTTTGAAAATAGGAACATGTGAATCAATAATATTATATAAGATCATAGAAATTACTAACAGCTAAATTCACATCATCACAATTCCGAAGGAAAGACCAGTTCGTGGAAAGTAGCGCCTTCTATAATGCAGAATAATTAGCTCGTTTGAAATTATAATTTTTTTGGTTTGGGTTATCATTTGAGTTGAAAGTAGTTTCGCTAATCAAAAAATTATCAATATCAATAATTAAAGCTGGATGATGAGGCATATCTTCAGGAACCATTGGAGCTCTGTCTCTTGTCACCTCACATTTCATATTGGAAATGATCAGGTCCAAGAGCCTATTCGAGTCATTCAAGATATTATTCCATTGGTTCATATTCAAGAAGTTAATCATATTATAGAGAGCGCGGGACTTGTTATCAAGAGCGGAGACACATACAAAGTTAGGAGCATTGAAGTCACCAATCAAAGCTTCTTTTTTGGTCTGCAAAATTTCTAGTTGTTTTAATGATTCACAAAATAGTTCGTAAGTTTCAGTTCAGTGCTTACATACACATTAAATGAAGTGTGTTTTAAAAAGCATCTACATATAAGCAAATCAATAATGGAAAAATTATTATCAAATGAATCAACATTTACTATTTCACTCTGAATATTGTTTTTTATAGCTAGTAAAACACCACCGCCACTTTCTCGAGATACAACATCTAATTTACGGTAAAGAGTATTGAGAGCAATAGATTGAGTAAAGTCATTGTGTTACATGGAAGTTTTTCAATTGTGGCCTAAAATAACCTTTCAGTGAGCAATGTCCATTTTTCAACTTTTTTCTTGAAAATGTTATTATAATTTTTCTTTCATTACATCAGGTATTCCTTATATCGAGCAAATTTCGATTTATTATAAAGGTATCAAATTTTATGAGCTACCAAATGCTTAAAAAAAAATAATAAACAAAAATTCCGTATTAATTTGAAAAAATATTTATTGTTTAAACATGTATGTATATATGTGTGTAAATGTATGTATTATTCATGTTCTTTTTTTCTTTTTTAATATCATTTAATGATTCCAAACACCCTTTTTTTTCAATTGAGTTGGCTTTGTAGTACTATATACTTTGAATTCCTCAATTTCCAGAAAATCAACAGTAACACTTTTTTTTCACAATATGACATAGAACAACAGAATTACCATTATTTAATGTGATGAAATGTTTATATTTCTAGCTCATGCAAATTGACTCATTTGGGAGACCTTGGTGTATGGTGTCTCAAAAATTTCATGAACTTTCCATCATTTACAAGAAATAATGGTAAATCTGTCAACTATATATTTTCGTATATTCGTCTAACATCAATTCCTANTATTACGGTTCACGTTAGTGTTGTTTAAGGTCAGGTTGATATTTTCAATTTGTTTTTGTCTTGTATGGAAGATAAGAAATTCAGTTTTCGCTGGGTTTATATACAGCTTATTTCTTGAAAACCATTTTGCAATGTTTTGCATCAAATCAACACCAGCTTGTTCAGTTGAACAATAAGATTCTTCAGATACCAAGATTTGATAGATCATCAGCATACAAGATAACTTTGAATTCTGATAGATAATTCACGATGTCTGCCAGATATAAGGGAAACAGAATTGGAGCTACTACACTTCTTTGAGGAACACCTACTTTCACAGGTAGTGTACTGGAGTAGTGTGTAGTGATAAGACCTTTATCGTTATGAGATAATGATATATATTGATTTCTATTTGCAAGAAACGAGCTGAATCAATCATGTGCTCTTCCTCTAATGCCAAGTGGCCAGAGTTTGTCTAGTAGCCGATTGTGTGGTACACAATCAAAGGCTTTGCTCAAGTCACAGAATACTCCAATTAGACATTTTCTTTTGTCAAGATCTTCCAGAATATTGTTTATAGACTCAGTTGTAGCTGTAGTAGTTGACCGTGCTTTTCTGAATCCATGCTGTTCGGTTGGTATTAGATTGAATTTCTCTATGAAAGGATTGAGTCTTTCTAGCAAGCAATATTCAAAAACTTTGGAAAATGATGCTGTTAAAGAGATTGGCCTATAATTATCCAATTTATTTCTACAGTTTTTTTTTGTGCAAAGGTATAACTTTTGATGTTTTGAGTTGAGTAGAGACTGTGCCTGTCTCGAAAGAAAAGTTCACAATATAGGTGACCGGTGATAATAGAAATGAGCTGAATTCTTTGATTACATTGCAAGGGAGGTCGTCAGGTCCCGCGGAATGTTTGTTTTTGAGTTTAGCAAGGATGTGGATCATATCATTTTCTGTGAATGGCAGTAGCACCATGGATTGTAAGGTTCTATTGGGCAACCTAACACCAAACTGATATTTTTGCACTCGACGCGCGTTTCGCCAACAAAGTTAGCATCCTCAGGAGAAGAAAAGTATTCAAATTGATGTTTCAAATGTTGAGTTTCAATTTTTGAAGGGCTTTGTTTCTAATTCACATATTGACAACAGCGCCTATATCAAGTTGAAATAATTTATACGTACCTAGATATTCTACTTTAAAAAAGGAAAATTACCTTTATAAATCAACAATAAAGGCAAAATATAAATTATAGTTCAATAACACATCCACAAGCCACATAAACAACAGTTGTTTTGTTATTTATTTATATTCCCTTGATGAATATAACATCTTTTTCACAAATGTAGTTGAATAAATTGTAACATCTCTACCCTTCTGCAACATCAATGTTCTAAGCGACCTTTTAACACTCCATAAACCTAGCACTTCTAAGCACAAGCAATTAAATAAAACATTCTGCTTGCTTGGACATATACGACAAACAAATACTCCAGATAACTATAGACCCATATATATCATTTCTATCTTTGGTAAAACTTTTGAGATGCTAATTAAAGACCGTCTAATTTCTTTTTTGAATGCTAATTCAGTACTCAATAAAAATCAACTCGGATTTAGGTCTAACAAATCAACAACCCAGGCTGTGATGGCTATAGTTGATTCAATAATACGGAATATATAAAAGGGTCTAGTGTCTGCTCTAACTTTATGTGATCTAAGTAAGGCTTTTGACACTGTAGTAAATCATGAGCTCCATGAAGTTAACTGGATTATTATGGGATACAGGGCAAAACTTTGGAGCTTATGAAAATATACTTATGTGGAAGAAGGCAAGTTGTTTATACATCTGGAAATTCTAGCACATGTAGATTCATTTCGCACGGTGTACCACAAGGTTCCATACTGGGACCAACTCTTTTTGTGGCATATATTAATGACATTATCTTTTTGCTATGCAGATGATGTATCAACGGTAGAAGCAGACTCCAATGTTAACGATTTAATGGAACTATGTTCTAGAACAGATAATAATGCTGAAACTTGGTGTACTTCAAAGTATCTCAAACTAAACAGGGATAAGACACAGAAAATTATAATATCATCAAATTGACAAGTAACAACGAAGCAACATGTAAATTTATTGAGGTTTAAAATTGACGTCGTGTTAAGTTGGGAAACAAGCACATATTGCTGGTCTATGTAAAAAAACTTTCTACACAACTGTTCCTACTAAGACAGCTGAAAATGTGTTTTAGTCAAAGTATG